GCGCATACCGGCATGATCAAACATGGTCAAAAACACGTAAAGGGCTTTGGCGATATCAACGGGAGAAGAAATATATTATGTATAATGAAGACTTATGAACGCTGTTAACGTAGAGAACGTAAAATAGCTGGATTATTCGCGAAAAATGCAAGACTTTAATTTAATAAGAAAATAGTGCTAGTGCTTATATTAATGCTTATATTCTTGTTTTGTGTAGCCGTCCATTAACATATAACAGTCTCGTTAATATAGAATATCTGGAATTCACCGAGTGCCCTTTCAGTGGAAATACCATCGACTGAAAAATTGCTATTGCTCTTCGACGACGAAACACTTCAATCTGAGCTTTATTTAAAATCTTTAACATATTTATAATTAAAAGTGATTTAAACAAAAAAAATGTAAATAAGTATAACTAAACTAGATTTCTACTAATTTAAAGCTCAATGCTTTAAACTTTAAAAATCAAGAAGCCGTAGTATAGTACAATCAAACATCAAAATTCGTAATATTATATAAACTCAATGTGTGATATTGCAAGATCGTTTTAGAAAAGCTAATCGATATTTACAGAATCCATATTAATAGGTATTTCAAATATCCACGATACAGATGTCAGCGTAATTCGCTCTTGAAAGAGCGTTATTTAACGAACCCTCTTGTATGTGTTACTCGTAATAAAAAGTAACTAAATTAGCTCACTGTGTAACACATGCATATAGTGCTCTGTATGAGAGATAAAGAGTCGCCTAAATGTATATCGTATAAAATTCTGTGTTATTTTTGAAAACTTAATTATATTTTATTTAATAATAAATTAACGCGATATACTTATGGTACGATGACATATCTACCCGTTTTGGCGTGAATGTTATAATAGCGATCGATAATTATAATAATTTGAAAACAAATATTATATAATTGTTATAGAAACGTTATTATTCCTTTCAGTAACATATCTATTTTATTTGATAATGTACATGCTAATTATTTACGTAGTATTCAAATACCATAATAAGATTAAAAGAGAACATAAATATAAATTTTAAACTTTTAACTTTTATTAAAAATATATCTCTAGTTTTGTAGCAATTTTTGTATTGCACAAAAAAATGGGACCAAAAATAATATGCATTATTTTTAAATACGAGTTTTTATAACGTTAAATTATAATATATTTTAAATGTTTCTTATTATAAATGTTAACTGAAATTTTTATATATATTTATATTTTATATATTTTATATATTTTATATAAAAAGATTTGCCTCTCTCTAAATTTAAATCCATAAAAATGTTATTCTATTATTTCTTATGATTTTTAGAAGCCGATCAATGTTTCTAATACTTGTATAATGTGTATGTTATAACTATACAGTATACAGTATAAAATGTCACATACTGTTTTTTTCGCAATTAACCATTGTGTGGTAAATGTTTGTCATAGCACTTGGTCTAAATGGAAATGTTTGCTTTTATTCACAGCGGCTTTGAATGGAGAAATAGAAGCCCACACAATACATTCTGTTCAGACAATGCATTGTTCGCACGTTAGCGTGGCGTTGATCTAAATCGTTCACTATCGAGTCCAATAAACGCTTTTACTATAAACTTTGGTTCTAATCTTATGTATTGTCAACTGAAATAGGACTATGACTATCTATACCAGCCATTGCTGCGGAATAAGCAACTCGATATAAACATTCAATGACTATACACGAGAGAAACATATTCCGGAAATTTTAGCTGAAAGAGAGACAGAGACAGAAACAGAGAGGAAGAGAAAAAGATAATATTTAAATATAAAATAAAATAATATATAATTAAAAAATCACCAAATTAATAATATGTTCTGTTTTATCATATAATAAAGAAGAGTTAAACAATTAAATATAAAACATCTCATGTTATTTGTAAATTAAGAATTATTAATATTTTAACATTAAAACAATTAAATAATATAATCTCCTAAATTTGACCTGTTTTGCATACATATATTCTGTTAATTTTATTTTATATCTAATTACAATTCAATAACCAATATATATTAATCAAGTTTCCCCAATAAGTTATTTTATTGAGTAAACTTGATTTATAACAAAATTATTAATTAAAATTCCACCGACTACCGTAAAAATTATTTTAAAATTTTTTACTTGATATTTTCAAGTAACAACAAGTTTCCGGTCTATCGGCACATTGCGGCTATATTTTGGCCGCATATTAAATTGCAAATCGGATTACTTGGGCATTATCGTCCAACTTATTAAGTATCCCCGATACGTGAAAACTTTTGACTCTACTAAGAACTCGAGAGTCTCCGAAGAAAACTGTTATTAGATATCAAACTTGTACACCGTGTCGCGCACAAGCTGCTGGACTTAAGGATATTTACAAAGTCTAAATATCTTTCTGTATAAGGCTTCTCCATGCACAATACCTACATACATATGTGCAGAATAAACGTCCGAAAAATTTTTAACATTTTGCTATTAGTAACCTATATACACTCACGTTTCACTTTATGCTCACGAACAATTCTGTCCAACAAACAAGCTAACTTTTCGCCTAATTCTAATCTGGCAAACTTTTTCCATTTCGCACAGCAAATTCTAGTGCTTGTCGTAACAAAAAATATATTAGATTGGTAAAAACATAGCTGTAAAATAGATATCGAATTGCATTGAACTTTCGCGCACCGTCGATAGTTCATATTTATGAAAATAATCAACACAACGGGGAAACATAAATTGTTCGGTTAAAGCATATTAAGCAACACACTATGCATACTTTAGACATACTATTAAACAGCAACAGCGGGTAAGCTTGATCAAGTTGCAAACGCGCATTATGTAGTGCAGAATGCATAAATTATACGCTAAACTAAACTAGATCGTCTGAACATGGTTTAGGATATGGGGATGACGAAGTGACGTTCATTAAACCTGCAGTTAGAACAATTAATTGACAGAGAGTTCTGCAAGTCCAGTGGGACGTTATCACTGCGAGCGAGCGAAACAGCATTTAATATTGAAAATAAAAAATATTCTTATAAGCTGGTTCTCAAACTATATGGCAGTAAAATACATATATTAAACAACATTTTATTCATACATAAATCTAAATATTGATTAAATCCTTACGTTTTAATTTTAATTAGCTATATACACAGCAAAATCTATTTCTTGCAAAGCAAATAAATCCTGTTTTATTGATTATATTTTTGTAATTAGTATTTTCAATTATTAAATCCGGAAAGATCGCTATTTAAAATAATTAATTGAAGTTAAAATATTTAAAGCTTATTTAAATCTTAATTAATCATATCAGCGAGTATATTTATTATTATTCTATTGATATTAATAATGTAAATCTTTCTGAGAATAAAATAAATAATAATTAGTTCGTTCATGTAAACAATTACAAATTATATAGTTATAAATAACTATTTCTTTAATACAGCAATTTGAAAAGCTAATTATTATAAATTAATGCAAATATATGACATATTATTATGCTAATATCAAATAGGGATATTCTAAAACAAGAATAATTTCGAGAATAATTTCAACAATGATATAATTTTGAATATTTATGCCATTTACGCTATTTAGTTTTGCAGTGATATTAAAATGTATCTAACCGTACGGTATTTCTGATTGTGCAAGTTTTATTAAAATTATTACAATTAACAATTTGATATATCATCTGGATTATAACGTATTGTATATTAGTTAATATACAAAATGATTCTAGTAACTAAGTTGGGTTGTAGCTTCTTTTTAAGTCAAAATAAAAAAAATGATAGGTACAGAAAAATCTTTCACTATTTAATGTGATCTATTATTCTATAATTATATTTTTTTTATACACCGATGCACTTGCAAAATGCAACTGCATTTTTTAAATACATAGAATCATATACATTTTTTAGCGTAAATCGGTTCTTTTCATTATTTTGCGTATAAAAATATTAGAGTGACGTAATCAGAAGAATTTTTTCTTATAAAGGTTTTTGTATATATTATATAATATATTACTGTAAATGTAATGTTTTATTGAGTTCGTATTCTAGAAAAAATTGTAATATATCACTCGTCTTTATCTTTCTTTATTCGAATTATTCCGCCTTGCGTGGTTAAAAATATCTAGATCGAGTTAATAGATCAGAATAGTATAGCTCACAAAATACGGTATTTGTTGCAGTTTAGCTATTCTCTGCTTCAGGCAAACTGTGTCGTTACGGAGGCAATGCCGCAGCAGGGGAAGAATCCTGCTCTGGCAAGCATACCGAAAACCATCTCAATCGGAAATGTAAGGATAACGAATCGACGATACAATACGCGCGTCCATTGTGCCTGCCAAGAATCGCGGAACTATATTCACCTGCAGACCATGAAAAGCCGTTTTCTGGCCATAAGATACCTTCCACTGGCGAAATTGTTTTCCTGATCGATATTCCATACAAAGCTACTATTCTTTTGAAATAATAATAATGAGATTCGCGCGAGGTATGACACATCTGGACAGATACAGTTCACATTTAACGATTTATTTAAAATCCTATTTTAGATCGAAAATCTTTCTGATCGACCGTACGATTTTTATTTAGAAGCATGTAGTTTGATTCAAAATAATATTTATTTTGTAAAACGTTTTTGACCCATTTTTTTAACCCAATATTTTGATAAAAACATAGTAACGGGAGAATTTAATTAAATATTTGTAATAATATATGGATCACAGTTATGCAAAACGTGTAGGTTTATTGTCTAACTTTCAAAATTTATCGAAGAATTAAAGTAAAAATAAATAAAATTGTTCTTATAATCGCTAAATTACGTTTTCCAAAATAATGCAAATAAAAAGTGCTTCTCTCGTTTTTCTCATTTCGCGTTTACATACACTATTACTTTTTAATGCTTTTATAATGTTACTGTCCCAATCGCGAGAACACGATAGACCTTACAAAATAAGAGGACATATTCGATAACCATTACCTCGCTTGCCAGCCCGCACAACGGTTGCACAAATCGCCAATAGCACGATGGTGAGGGCGACGTTGATATGCAATGGATAGCGCCGCATCTCCGAAACGAGAAGGGGCCAGTCGCTACGTGCTATCCGCCGTACGCTTCTTCCTCATGCCCCTCTTCACAGTTCTTTGCTATACACAAGCCGGGATTCACCGTGAAAATTACCGGCTCGAGTAACTCGGCGACGCACTCACGAGAGATCAGAGTACCCTTATCTCACTGTATTACCCTCTTCAAGTGCGTCCAGTATCTCACCGTGCGCGAATGCGCGCCTCTCTTATCCCTGCATCCCGTCACTCTTCTCGCATTTCTTCGCGGAACTCGCCATCCATCGTCTTCTACGTCTCACCATCCGTTTTCGTATCCCGTACTTATCTGTAACGTGTCCGGCGCGTTCGATCGCGTGATATAAGATCGACAAAAATGCGCGCTCAGCGTCGTCTACCTAGGATACAGCAAGCGGCGCGCATCGAATAAAGGGTAGAGCGTCAAAGAAGCGGACGCTTCTGGCGCGTCGACGCGATTTGTCTCGCGTGGCGGGAACTCTCGGCGACCCGATTCGCGGCAGCTCGCAACCGCGAGTAACCCTCGTTGTAGGAGTGCACCGTTCGGCATGGTGGCCGAACACGATACGAACGGACGATCCGCTAATCGTTTTTTCACGCTCGCTCATCGGCCGAGTCCCATCGACTGCGAGATCCAACGAGAGATCGATCCGACGTGCAATTATCCAGGCGTCAAATATACGTCGCGATGCTGCAGGTTTTTCAAAATCGTTCATCAGTAACATATGTTTGTCTCGTCGATTTAAGTTCTTAAAAATGAAGACTTTTGGTTGTCGTTGTTGTGTAAGTAGAAATATAATGTAGAAGGAAACAGTAAAAATCAGTGATCCGAAGTTATAGATAAAACTGCCAGTGTAATTTAGCCTCTAATTATAAAAGTTCTTTGCTTTTTATAGAAAATATCTGTTAAAAGTAAATAAAACTCCATATCTCTTTACGCATGTCACTGACGAGGAAACTAAATTGATACCTGTCAATAAAGTTCAAGTCGATTAACGTGCCTGAAGTTCGATATATAGTTAGATGACTATTACGCGGGCGAACGTCTAAGTTTTCGTTTTTCTCACATCTTCGAAGAGTCTGTCGCAGTTCTTCTTTTTCACTATAAATCACCGACTTTGCCCTCCGCACCCTCCGTATAATCAGAGCTTTCTCTCAAAGCGAGAGGAGAGCAACCGTTAACCGAAAATTCGTTATCCGTAGACGGAGTACTACGAAAACTTCAAAGCCGCCACTTCTTCACCTGTACCTGATGAACGTGAGTATTTACAGGCGTGTCGGAACACAAGCAATCGCGATAATCACGATTTCCCGACAACTCGCGTGCCCCATAACTCGTCATTAACTCGTCGCAGGATATCGCGAAAACTTTGTCACCCTTTCCTCTTCTATTCCGAGCTCGATTAATCAGTTTCAAGGCGGAGCACAAGGAGTGCTCTTCTCTACGTTCTCCATTCACTCCCCTCTTTGATCGTTCACAGTTTTCGAATTCCAGCAAAATCCTTCGATCCCTTCAATCCCCGACAATTTTCAAGCAAAGTCCACCGAACGTGTATTGTTTGTCGTCGCTGATACCGAAGTTCGATCACTCAAGAGCTCGTTGTTATCTACTTCGATCGCGCGATCACACCGTTCATCCGGGAGGATCACCAGTCATCCGTCGGTTTTTCACCGCGATAACACCCGTCACCGCCGCGAAAATTCTACCTGTCGTTGATCGACTGTCACACGTAGATCCTCGGTCCGCGCACGGTACGATTACCACGAGGAACGGTGTGAGGGTGAAGTGAGCTTGGCGTGACACGGGACCGACAGGGATACTGGCGCGCGTACGGGCGGACGCGGGCGCAGTGGCGCGAGCGTATCATCGGACCCGCCGTTCTCTCTCGCTTTCGGTGCGCCGGCCGAGCTGCGACGACGCCAGCCGTGCCAGCCCGAATGATTCGCATCCGCGCTGCTAAACGCCACAGCGACCTGGGCGCAACCACCGTCGCACAGTGCGAAATTCACCCAATCTAGGTATCCCGCCCCGATAAATAAAGGAACGACATTTAATTCTACACGCGCCCGGCGTAGACGAGAGTACTGTGTAAATGAAACCTTACAATCTCTTTTCCTATATCAGACGAACAATGAAGAGAGGATGTATATTAACAAAAGAGGGAAAAGTGGTTTATAATCGATGATTTATAGCGAGATTACTTCGGTTCTTGCCAATACGACAATACTTTGTCAATACCTACTTTTATTTTCTATTATGATACAATCTATCTTTTCAGCAGTTGTACTACGATTTCCTTGCCACTCTATATATTATTACGTAATAGTCGTATTATGTGACTTCAAATTTTTTAGGAAGAAGAAGATGTAAGAATTAAGAATAATATATCCTTTTTTAATCTAGATACAGAAAAATCTTAAAATAAATTGTTAATTAGTAAATTATTCCTTATATATATATTGATATAATATATCAAGGAATATACAGTATATATACTCTTGATATATGATACCAATTTTTTTACTTGTCTACTATAATGAAAAATTGTGAGATTATGTTCACATAATTTCTCTGTTACTATATCACTGTCAGTCATCCCACTCATTCATCTCGTGTTTATTCATGATAATTTTATCTTTAATACATCATATCGGATCCCCTTTATTCGGTCACTAATTCTCTGATAAATTTAGAACTATTTGTAAAAGTTATCGATTTTTATTTTTTTCTTGTAGTAAATTTTGCTCTCCCAATATGTATTTTGTCACCTACATACGTATGTATACGAATAGCAACGTTTTTTTTAAGCCGTATAAATATTAGAGAAATGTTTGTTTTTTCCATTTTATTTTATATTTCTAAATTCAAAATGTGTGCAAAAACTAGATTGAGCACAATATTTCTTCACATACATATGCACACTTGTGTACTTTTATTTAATTTCAACGATAAATAGCAATAATCTTTAGCAATAAGTTATAGTTAAAGTACACATAAAGAATTAAAATCCATTTACCAATAAATAAATTATTTCATGTATGTTTCTTAAAAACATTACTTAATAAAACGTGTCAAAAACATTATGTAATAAAATTATTTTATAGGTCTCAATCACTCGTAATTTTATAATTACTGATCAGATGTTTAAAAAAATGTTATTTTTCTTAATTTGATCTCTAGTATTTATTGCGGATAGTGATAGCGCCTAGGACATTCCATATATCCATCAAGCATTCCAAGATAGCAACTTTGGAAATTGTTTTTCGAAGAAATTGGAAAAGCTCCAAAGTGAACCTCTTATCCATCGTAGTGATATTGGAAAGAGCACGCAAAAGTCAATGAAAATTTCACAAAAGCTATGTCAATTTAATTGAATAATTGTAATAATTATGTTATAAATAAAACTACACAATATTTTATTTTCATTTCAGTTATAAATGAATGACTCGATTATAAAATTTTCTTTACCTAAGAAAAGCTTTCTTTCGCAATCAAATTCTTTATTCGTGCTATGGCATATGTCATAAAGTTTGCAATTTTTGTAACGTGACTTTTTTATTTAATTATTACAATTACAATTTCAAGGATTACTATGATAATCCTTGATTAGTCGCGCGAGATCATAACGATTGCATTTTAATTATAGTAAGAACGTAGTAAATAAAACAAAATTATAAATGTATATAATGTTATTTTTTAACAATAAATATTTTTAGTGCAGTGAATCTTATTCTTTAATGCGTAGAAACAATTTTAAATCCAAGACTATATGAAATTATTGTCTGGCTACTGCAATATAACAAAAAATTTTCATAAAACGTAATGATCTCTCACAAATAATTATGTCACGCGCTTGAACTGAATGCCATTAATTGAAGTTTAATTCCAATTGAACTTTAATTTTATTTATTCCGTATTTTTATTTTAAAAACAAAAGAATCTGAATTGTTGTCGAAAGCCAGAATTGTTAACGTCTAAAATTCAGGGAATTTGTATCTGGGAGAAAAAATTCGCGACATTCGGCATATTCTCGGTATGAATGAAGAAAATCTGAAGAAGAAAGCGCATCCTTTACTTGCATACGTTGTTTACTAGCACTAAAGGTGACATATAGAACTTTTTGCGAATTTTTCTTTCTTTGGCCGCCGGTCTTAGATTCTTCGAAAGATTAACAGGCACTTACTATCTTTTACGATAGTAAGTCTGGGCTGTCACGATTTTTCCCTATCAATTATTCGCCACTATTCAACCTTATCGACATAGAGAAATTCTGATTATGTGAATGCCTAGAAATAAATAATTCGCCGGAAATATTAATGCAATTATACGACAATAAATTATTCGATCTCATATGGATAAAGTGTACTTTACGATTTAGATGTTCTAGCGAAATTAGCACTTAGGAATTCTAATACAGAATCGTCAAGAAAAATCTAATATGTTTGTTTCATTATCGTCTAAAATTACAGAATAATTTTTAGTTTCGATAAGCTGAATGTTAATAAAGTAACAATATAATTCAGAGACGTTATTTTTCGTGTCAATGTCCAGAAACATGAAAATAATATTTTTTATCAAATTTTATCATTTTAGAAGATAAATTAATATTGTATACATTTCTTTTAATTAGTTCAAGAAGTTGAATATCAACTCTACGCACTTATTTAACATACAATACACGCACTGGTCTTTATAATGTATACTTGTGCTGGAGAGAGATACGAATGGATGTTAAACGCGCGTTTCAATTATGAAAACCATCATATCCTTGCCCGGAAAAGTTAAGAAATCGATCAAAAGGCGCAGCCGAGTGCGCGCCGTCGATGACAAATGCAAGTCAGGAACAGATTTGCATTTCGCGCGTTTAAAAAAAAGCACGGTGAAACCGCGGGCGGGACTTAGCGACGGGTATCAGTGACGCCGCGTGATTAATTAAGTACACGACGATGAGCCTCGGAACACTCGGGGAAGTACTTTGGCCATGCGATGATAGAATGGAGCTGCCGTTTCCAGACACCTGTGACTCTGGATAGCGAACAAGAGAGAGATGGAGAAAGCAAGAAAAAGAGAGAGCAAGAGTGAGTGAGTGAGTAAGAGAAAGAGAGAGAGAGAGAGAGAGAGAGAGAGAGGGAGAGGGAGAGAGGACAAGCCGAGTAGTTCAATCACCTCTCGTCGGTTAGACCGTTAGCCGTACCGACGAATTTCCGATAGACGTTTAATTATCCCCGCTCAAACGAAGGACTACCTTTAAATTCCAGAGCTCGGCCGCCAGCATACCGACTCGCCTGGTCGTTGAATTCGCTCGTTACATGTGGTTACCGCGTAAGTATCGCGAGAAAAAGGTATAAAACGCGCCAGCTGCGCTTGCAATCCGATATCCATTGTAAATTGAGACGCGCCAGTGGATTATTTCTCTAGTATTTAAATAATAAATTCTTTTTTTCACTTTTCATACGTTGAATCGTTAGCGCACTCGAGGTGCGATAATGACGCCAGACAAAAAAATCCGGCGAAATTAATAAGATATTAATTAAACACGATGATTTTGTTTGTTCTAATTGTTTCTTGAGATAAAAGCTTGACTGTCAAAGAAAAGATTATGCGTAGAACTTCGTCTTTCTTGAAAAATTAATTACAGTAACAAAATTTGTTGATTGCTCAAAATAGATAAAATTCTGTTTATAAATTTTCATCACGTTACTATACATAAAGGTGCTTAAAAAATCCTTTGTAGTAAGGTTTACATAGACTATACGGTTTAGATTATCTCCTCATCAACGTATCATATTTCAAATCTTCTCTGTTACTTACACGATTACGCGAATAATGAGATGATATCATATCTCTCAAATAAGTTGATACAGTTAATCCACAATGTTAGAATAAAGAAAAACAAAAAAGATACTAAATAATTTCGATGTAACGCATAAAATTAAAAAAGTTTTATATATGGCATAAATAAATTATTTATATATGTACAATTACACATATAATATTTGATTCTTTTCACGTTTTGTAAACAAAATTAAAAGACGTTAAGAAAAATCGAATGTTTAATGTTAAAATTCTAATACTTTTATACGTAGTACTGTTATAAATTGTTAAAATAAATGGAGATACAATAATTAATAGATATATTTTAATACGTTTGTTACCATCGCAGAGAAAATAAGAAAGGATATCTGCGATAACAATCGCAGATAATTAAAGCACACCAGTAATATTATTTCAGAGATTAGCAAAATTTGATTAACAAAAAAATCAATAAAAAGATAATTAAATGCTCACCTGCAACGCGCAATAGCAGAGCTGTAGTACGCAACGTTGATATCTGTAAAATATAAACATATTCAGATATTAAAACAATGTCCGGAATAATTAATACTTTAAAAGATATAATTATTGCGCGCATTAAATTTTTTATTTATTTTTTAAACTTTATTTAATAAAAGAGTTACATAATTTCCGAAGCAAGACTACAATTTTTTTAGATACAAATTTTATGCAAATAAGGTCTTTTAATTCTCTATCTCTTTCATACGCGCACACATAAAATCTAAATAAATATCATTAAAAAAAATGTTTTAAGTAAAATAATAAAAATTTAAAATTAAAAATAAGATAGATATTATTAATATTTTATTAAATATCTTGAGCGTTTCAAAATAATCTCAAATGTTTCATATACGGGTTACATCATATAATGTTACAAAACGGAGTGCACCATTATTGCGACCGTTGCGAGGAAAAACGATTCGTAAATAAGAAACAGTAAATAAATAATAAATTGCTCACCCTACGATCGCTCCGCTGAAGCCCGATGCCTCCCCGGGCCGCCTCCTCCTCTCGCGTTCCTCGTGGCTGCTCTTTCGTGATAT